AAACACCGACATGGTGGCGCAGTCAGATTGTGCACGGTAGAATCGACCGCTCATCAACAGATTCTTACGACTTCCCATCGCCAATGGGAAATCGAGTCGACTGTTGCGGTTCAGTTCAGTAGTAAACAGACTCCAACAGACGATGCCGGCGAATGTTGACAGCCGCCACCGTAGTCGTCATCAACTTCACCATACTCTAAACTACCGGGGCCTAATACGATGTCTTCCTTTGACCATCCATATCACGTGAAATGAGACCACGGGCAGAACTAACTTTTCAGTCAGTCTGCATGTCAGTTAAATCTGGGGAAATTTACATGGCAGATAAACCGATGAATGTGGAACAGCCGGGCTTTTGCGGATCCATCAGTAATTTTTTGGACCATAGCGTTGATTAAATGGAGCCAGAAAGTCCGAACGGAGTAGCCTGACCTCCAGGGAAGGGGTAGAAGACCAAACGCTGTTCCATTAAACCAACCCCCTCCACACTTTTGCTACACAAAACCGATTGCATAAATTAGCATAGTTTTATTTTTTTGAGACATGCACGCGAAAATGCCCCACTCAGGGGGTTTTAAGTGCTCCTAAACGGCGCCCGGCGACCCTGGATCGGACCCGGCATACTGTGAGTATGTGAATTACTCATCAGCACCCGGCTTATAATTTTCCTTCGCCGGTAGTGCCGGGCAGCTCATTCAAGTCACCACTGTCTGGTGCTATTCAGCTCACTCGTGCGTAACTAATCGCTTAATGTTGCACCTTGCGGAGACCACAACAGCATTTCGTTGCTGACGGCTGAGCATCCGTGCTCGCTAGGAGAGTCGCCATGTGCGCACATGCACACACTTCATGTGTCTCACACTGAGATTCCATATTATGACGAGATCTGAGAGCGGGGAGCTGAGTTTGTCAGGGTCAGGATAAGTCATACCCAGCTGGAGTCTCAGTCAAAGTGTTGTTGCAAGGCAGGGTGGCGGTGGTGGTGGTGAAGATCGGGTTGCAAGTGTGCGCTATAGAGGAGCACATTTGTGATCTGACGTTTCAAGTAGCCACTTCGGCTGCACGTCCTGTTCACAGTTCGCCTTACAGGACCCCCTCGCGACTGTCGCGTAGACCGGCTGCAGTGGGAGCCTAGGACCTCTTTTTGGCTGGGGTCGGCGTCACCCCAGCTCCCGTTTTCTGCTGTTCTAACTGGCGGGCCAGACTACTGCACGTCCCAGCCTGACTTCTCTGTGAGTTTGGCCCTTTGTTAGATGGTGGTGCACAGCGAATTAGGCGGCGGGGTGGTCGATGTGCTGATCGACTTGACAGATGATTGACATCTTAAATCTTAGCATACGTATTACGGTCTGATGACGCGGCAGAAATCGTGATAGTTGAAGGGGAACCTGTTTATGATGGTGTGGTAAAACTCGTGTCGGGTCGAACCGAATGACTTCGGGACGTTAGATTAGTATGAAGAGGCTAAACCTTGGCTTGAAAACATGGGAGGCAGTTGCATAGAAGTACTACATGGTGGATAATATTTTACTCATCTTGACAGAAATTCATAGGCATCATTATGTAACAATCAATAGGGTATAGGTCGAATCCGGGAGCCTTAATGTGAAAGAAATCGCCCAGAGGGAATAATATGACATCACCTAGGAAAGGAATGAGGCAACCGTATTCTCTTCTTGAAACACTAGGTCGGAAATGCACCTTTCCAAGTGAAGGACTCCTCCTGGTGAGATCAGATAGGTGGGCTTTGCAACATGGCCGTAATATCGGAACGCAGGTCACAATTGTCGACGCGTTCTCACGTAGACGTCCAGCCTTCTGCGCGTGCGTGCTCAGCCCGATAAATTAGCGTTTTTGCTACACACACTGTCACTGATCACAGCGACAGATCAGACGGCGTCTGCAGGGGTGACGACGTTCGGTTCAGTACTCAGTTTCAGTGTGTGCAAAGGAACTGCGAACCCGAAAGTTGTGGCTAGGCTGATAACGTGCTGCCTGGGGGTAGTAGCCTTCGTTTTTTTTTCGCTAAACCTGTAGAATGTGTACACGAGTGGTGCCCACATTGATGAAAACTGGCAACTTCACCACGGGAACGAGGGGCGGGGGTAAATTCTGCTCCTGGTTCTACTCAGGGCCCAACGTTCACCTGTGACACCACGACGATGTACTTACCGTAGCTACCACATTTCAGTAGCTGGTTTGCGAAAGCAGTCGAGGGTTCTGGTTAGGGCTCCAGCATGTGTGCAAAGTTCAGTTCATCTTTTGAGGCCTGACCGGCGCCGTTGCCTTGCGCGTAGCAGGAGGTAATTTGTCTGCTCAGCCCCAGAGCCCAAGTCGATGTCTTGTAGTCCCTACTTGATCTTGTCGTGGGGATAGAGTAGTCTTTGAGATAAGAGAATGGGATCCATTCCGCGCTGTGATCTCCCACTTTGATCCACTTCACGCACAAGGTACCACTGCGTCCCTAGTCGATGTGGTCATCGTATTGTTCAGCAGTTCACGTAAGACGGACTTTTCGTAATACCTGGCTGAGAAATTTCCACTTTTGCTACTTAAATAGTTTGGGTAGATTGAAAACTTTGTGCGACTTTCGCCAGAAAACCACGGATACTACATGAACCTTTGCACATCTTATGCTAATGAACCCAGTTAAAGACGTCTTTCTAACTTCTGTTTCTGGTCTGATGGCATTTGAATCCATGTATTTCCCAGATGACAGCGCGATTCTCGCGAACGATGACGCTCCGCGGGGTCGGCACAGGACGGTGACTTGGTGAGGCCGACTTGCGCAACTGCTACCGCACTCTCTCATTCACTGGGATAGGCAGTTAGTCCTCTTAGAATTTTGGTATCATATTACGGGCGGTCGCAATAGACGCACGGTAGTTGCTCAGGTGGCCACGTCCGAGTGGTTAATTACAACTTTTAAGGATTGAAAGGTATGCTAGGAACGTAAACGACGAATGTAATTATGTGGAGTCGCTAACTGGCGCGATAGTGTCTCAACAAACCTGTTGCCTTGTGCCGACTCTAAAGCAGTGTTCATCCGCTCGTCATCTTCACGGCTGCCCGATTGCAAAGTTTGATAAAGGTCAGCCTAGCAAAGAATGCTACTCGCACCAAATGTTCTGGTAACTTCTCAGAGCAAAAATATCCCGTCACAGCAACGCGAAAGGATATGAAAGTGCGTTGGAGACACGCGAATGGAACTTTGAGGTCTCAGAAACACAAATGTCGGTCATGATGGAAAGGTTCAACGTCTACCAAAATCAGCTTAACTAAATATTCATAATACGCGTCAAAATACGTCAAATATCGAGAGTACGATAACTCTTACCGAATACTCACGTAGAGTAACACTTTTGCAAGTTCAATCGACAATATTGGGTATAAGAAAAATAAGGAAGAACAGCTTCCTGCATTTACGATCAGTATGAGTTATCGGAGAGTTTGCCATGGAACAAACCAGCTTAAAAACATATTTGTCCAAACTTCAAACAGTGTCATTCAAGCTATCCTTGCGGTTATAGTGGTCTACTGTATTCGGCAACTCTCTATTCGCCCTTTTGGTTACCCGCGACTGTCCTAGTTTAAGTATTGTTTCAGGCAAGGGGAAAATACGCTTCTGGTAGCATAAGCGCCGAATATGACTAGGTGCAGCATCCCTATTATGAATATTGACACTCTAATTCGTCGGCTTTTGATAGGTAGGGGAAAAGAATCGTTAATGAGGGCTGCATCGACTGCCGATAATATGCGAAAACAATTGTTAAACTGATGGGATGAGGTTATTAAGGCAGCAATCTCTCTTACTATGCGAAAGAGGAAGAACTGTAAAAGTAAGGGCAGACTTCAGCGTCCGTGTGCGCTCGTACTCCCCACCCCCCAAGCCCATCTTCTCCCGTGACGTGGGGTGTGTTGGTCAGACCATGCGGCAGAAGAATACGACTTCCTATCAACCTTCATAAGGCAAAGTTTGCTTCCAGCGGTGTTACTGCACTTATAGCTTGCATGCTTAATTGCCTTGAGGTCATAGTTTTTCGCATTCTCCAACATACATCATATCCTTTGGAGGGAAATGGATGCACTTAGCACCACAGGCTTCCGGAAATTTCATTCACAGCCCTCCAGAAGTCTCAAGAAGCGCGGTAAATCGTAATGCACGCATGATGACGTCTGTGTGGGACGGTTTGTTGATGGAGTGGTTTCTATTGGTCCTGGCACCGTAGGTGAATGTCTCAATCAACCCTTCCTAGAAATCAGTTTAAGGGACCAGGAATGCGCCAGAGGGTGGCCGGTTAAGTCTTGTTGGACGACAAACAACATCAGCCAGTTCTCAGCACTGTTAGGGCTTCTCTGATTGTCTTACAGCTAACTAATTTGACTGACCGGTGATCAGCCACGGTTGAAAGTATTACCAGTGAATGGTCCGTAACGGCCTATGAAATATAAAACCTCGATTAGTTGAAAGATCGGTTGATTACCCACCGGCCGTGGACGCTCTGGGTATCTCGCAGTTGAATTAGGAGTTCTGTCCGTCCTTCTGGGTCTATATCGATACAACGGCCATTAAAAAGCTCTATATATGACAATGCCTCAAAAAACCGGCTCGACCGTCTTGATCGATGATGTGTTACGCAGCAGGATGGGACAGGGAAAGTGACAGCCTACCTTCAGCTAAGACCTCCCTTAACTGTACCTGCACCAACGTTTATTCAGAAAATGATTCTTTCATGAAGGCGGATAGCTCTGTGCAGGAACCACCCGGGTACTGTATAATGACTTTGGGGCAAATAAGAAAGGTGCCTTCTCCGTGTGCTGATGGTCTCCTAATACAGAACTAAGAGGCAATACTGGCGTTTGTTGAACAATAGATGGAAGAGTGGGGAGGGCGAGAGATGCACAGGCTAGGGCCGACTGATTGCTCAGGCATCCACAGACTTGCTTGATGTCCGTACGCGTTTGCCCCCTCAGCGGGACTATCCTCGGGAAAGTTGTCAATGGCAACGACCTTCAGTGGCGGCTGTTACTCTTCCTCCTCGCAGACCAGTTTCTGCAGCAAAGTCACAGTGGTTCAGCGACCTCCGGCTGATACCAACCGGCGTGCATTCTCCCCTGTTGCGCCCCTCTTCCGTGACAGGACTAGGCCCCAGTCCAGCGGAGTGTAAGTTTGTCACTTGCAATTTGGAGCTTGTGTTGCGGCACAGCAGTGAGAATATGTGCAATCTGTGAGCTACAATTATAAAGTCAAATCCCAAATTGGAAGGAGAAGACGGAAGGCAACAGAATGAGGGTTTATTGCATTTGCCGAGGGGTGGTGCCCCAGTGGCTTGATTTGCCGGTTTCAGGGGATGGCCCGTTCAAGTGGCGCATGGGCAGCTGCGACTGTGCGGATGCAGGTATGCCTGAGAGCTGTCCGTCGTGTGACCTCAGGTCAGTACGTCTGGAACGGCTCACTGCAAAGGGGTGAATGACCTTGAGGCAGCGAGGTCTTGAACAAGAACGCCAGACCGGTCATGATGGCTACGCTTGAAGCCCATCATTTTAGTGGCGATTTAGTAACCTGGCAAACACGCTCCCTCCGATCCCCCGAGGGCTTGAAAAATTCTGTTGGTAACGGCTGGCCTTTATCGCGAATATATCTTCTTCTTGGGGGTAGGCAAGAAGACGACAAGCAAGACTCTTCCCAGGAAGGCTCGCTCCTCTGTTTACTGTGATAGCCTGACTGTTGAAACCTCGAGTAATTCAGCTGAGTGCCCCAGCCGGTCTGTCCTCGAAGTCATTTCCAGGTGAAAAAAGACGCAAGTGAAATTTCACAGTACCTTCCTGGTGGCTTAACCTCATAGTTTGGAAATACAGCTATTACACCACTAAATTTTAGCCGACCATCTCCGCCTGAAATTTCGTCTCGACTGGCTATTCCGACGGATCTGAGTGCACTTATAAGACTTCCTTGTTAACACAATCTTACAGTCTTTGCCTCCGCTCGTTGATTCTCGCTGTCCGACACTTCTGGTTCAAATCCACCAACAATATCCTCGTGTAGCAGGAGCTTTTGAATGGGGATATTGGTCACTGAGAGAGTTGGGGTTAGGATCTTGTCCGTGGCCCCTGCCAAGCTTATCACCTGATGGATCGACTCAGGTTGGGTGTTTTGTGATGTACTAGAAGTACGTCAGAGTTCAAAACAGTGTGAGCGTCAGAAGTTTTGTTAAGACGCAGCATGTCAGATAGTTCCACCGACGCCAGCGACAACGTCCACTATGTGCCCCACGAGGTGGCTGGAGCGTCTGAGACTTGAGCTGCATCCTCCCTCACTCACCTTGCCCTGATGGCAAGACAGGGACAAGGGCTATCCAGCCCGTTAAGGAGTGGCACCCACGACCTGTTCCCCACTAAAGGTGTACCGGGCTTCTTTAGATGAGTTTCGGATCTTAAGTTCGTGAGAATGCCATGTTAAGAGGGGGCGATTGTGGCTTAACCCACAACCTTCCAGTCACTCCGATATGACAGTTCAAGCATCGTGGACGACGATGTCAGCTATCCCCGCCCCACAGCAAGGTGTGTCGTAGAGACCACAGCTAGAAGGAGTGCTTGCACCTGGAATCTGTCCTGAGAGCAGGACCGAAGTATCCCGTCAACTGGCAAGCCCCGGCTTATAGCTCTCCGTGGTAGTTTCAAAAAAGGAGCATCAGATTGGTTGTAGTGAGAAATATACACTAAGTGCCATGGGGACGGAGTCCTGAGAGTCCATCTCTTCCCTCTGACAAGGATCATCATACTGCCCGAACCGGCCAGTCATCGAATACGAGGATTGGACGCAACACCCCGCTGAGAACAGTTGGAAATAACACGCGGCCAGGGGGCGTTGTGGGGAGACGTTGTCAAACCCCAGACCTTCAGAATTAGCCCCAGCTGGTCTACATTGGAATAACTATGGCCCGCCTGATGACTGTGTGCCTTAATTCGTACTCCTTGTTTATTCGGTAGATCGAATTTTCTACTCCAAATTAGCCTTGAGGACTCATCGTTTGAGTACAGTTTCAATGGAACAGCCTTTTAGACTGGAATAGTTTGGCAGTGAGAGTCAGTGAGTGCGGGCTGTTGATTAATTCACACAGTCGGCACGTAACCCTGTGATCACTTGAACATTCGGGGCTAATTCGGATACCGGTGGTCTGATTCCCTTCTACTTCAACGGCCTACCGTCCAGCCCACCGCCCTTCTTACCGCAGTCTGTCGCAGTATTCATCAAAGTGTGGGAATTTGCGACTGACGCTACATCCGAATTTCAACCTGGGATGTTACACAGCAGCGGTGCGCAGTAACTTTTCCTGATTTTGGGAGGGACTTTCGACAGTAATGTTCGATTAATTAACAATGTCAGGGTACTTTATTGCGGGATCGGATACACTCTCTCAATCTGCCTGGTCGTAGGGGTGCCTTTCAGCGTCTTCATGCAGTTTTGCACGTTTCAAACGGTATACATTGCTGTTTGTAACCATTCGAGATAATTTTAAGGGATTATAGGTCTCCTTATAGAATCAACAATTTTACTCGCGAAGTTTTTGGCTACTTTTTCCGCAGCCTGTTGTCAAATGAGCTGACTTGCAGGGATCGCCCCAACATCTGCCTGTAGATCATAGAGAACCAGTAGAATTACTAATCACCTCACGCTTTCTGACGCCTGACGAGAACAATTCTAGCACGTTTCTCTCCCGTTGAGGGGTTTTTGCAGCTGCAGAAATCTTGTCACTCGGGCAGCAGTACGTTCGTCCCGAGAGACAGAAAAACCGATGATCTGATACTGGTGCGGTGTGGAGTTCTGATGCAATTGTGATTGGGAAGGGGGGAAGGAGAGGATGAATGAGCACTGAGCCAGCTTTGTTGGGCATTTGGTGCATCGGGCAGTGCGTAGGAGGGGGGGGGACGGAGAAACGCTCACAAAAATTGCCCAATTCACATAATGCAATTTGCCTCCTCCATTGCATATGCCTTCGTTGGCACAACCCCTCCCGCATCAGATCGCACGCTGAGACAACTTTGTCAGATGACCCTCCTCCAGCGGTTTCGGGAGAAATGCGCTGTCAACGTGGGCGATTCTTTTGGCATTTGGCGTGTATCCATCTACGCCGCCTGCAGGTTAATGCACCGATTGCCTGACTGGTGGTCGGGACTGCCATTTCTCACCAGCAGAACGACTGAATATTTATCTCAAGTCACAGGTTGCTGTATATTTTTACTATCACGTCCTTTAGAAGCATCATTGCATGAGAAGATTATAAACTATGGAAAGGAAGGATGACTGTAAAGTATACCTAGGGATCAAAACGGTTTTTACACGGTAGTTCAGAGCCCACCGATGCAGGGGGACAGACCGTCCACTGACCAGAAGAAGAAGCGATTGCTGGAACAAGGTCTTTATTTGCCTGACGTTTCAGATTCTCACTTGAATCCATCATCAGGACAATACCAGAAAAGGGTGACTCGTACACAGTAAGTTGCAGTATGTATAGGATGCAGTCGCTATGCTACCGCATACCTATAGCAATTAACCGCGCTCCCCTTCATGAAGGATCGTTGCCCGCTGGTACGCTAATTGCTTGCTGGCCGGCATGCAAGTTGTTAATTACCGAAATGTCATCACCCGTGTTGGATGCTGGCGTGATGATTGCTCGGCCATCTGGCTCACCGGCTTGCGCGCGTCCCGAGTGGTCAATTACCTTGGCCAGCCTATGCCTCAGCACGGAGTATGGAGTGGGCATGTCGTTGCACTTGTTGATAGATTGAGGTCCCGTGAACCATGACTCAAGCAACTCGCGGCTCACACGATTATCGCCTCTGGCGAGAATTTCGGCCTCATCGAACTTGAATGTGTGGCCGAGTCTCGTCGGATGGGCCGCGAACTGAGAGTTGGCGTCATTCCTCCGCACCGCTGCCGCGTGTTCGGCAATTCGCGTTCGGAGCAGTCTTCCAATGGCGTCCACTCTATGAGTGTTCCCGCGTTAGCCGTTTTATACACTTTGGACTTCTATGCCGTTCAAGAAAGTTGCTGTTCTGTTAGTGTGGCAGACGCGGTTGCTGGCAGATGTCGCTCACACTAAGACGCCTGCCGTCCCCCATTGTTGGTGTTTGTCAAAAACCTGGTCATTTGCTGGGTGGATCAGGGGGTGTGGAGTAGAACGCCAAGGTGCGGTCTCGACCGTGCCATCCAGCTGCGCCCTCTCCCACCTCCGTTCTTCTTGACTCTGTCTTGACACCGGGTCCAGATGGGGGAGGAGAGAGTGCGGTAGACTCTGTGCAAGTCAACATTCACTAAAAACTGAATCACTCACAAGTCACCTTGTTTGGAGCACTCGGTAGACGTCGTCAGCAACGACGGTCAAACTGTCGTCCTTGTAATATTAGTTCAGATCATGCACTTATTTGTCGGCGTGCTGCGTTGTGTAACGACTCTCTGACCGGCTGCGAACACGCACGTGCTTGTACGTACTTTGTGAATAAACACTGAGGACTTCTAGTTAATTGGACACATGGCAACGATCTTATCCCTCCTCGTTTAGCTGAAGGCTGGCAGTTGCAAAAAAGACAGCCGACTCCTTTCATGTAACAATTATCCCTTAATTCCTAATACTTCTCTTGCAGACGGGAGGGCACCAAGGCTTACCTGGCCCCGCGCCACTTCTCAGGCGACAGAGCCAGCTGCGGTTTCGATGGCGCTGCCTCCGTCTCCGGTCCTACTCCATCAGCGCTCATGGATAGCACAGCAGTCAACCAATCACAGCAGGAAGGTGCGACGGCCGTCACCGGCACAACTGCTGTGAAGACGCTTACGGCCTCTGTGCCGGAGCCACACCCTTCAGCACACTGCCCCACCATCAGCGTCTCACTTTTGCCGCCGGGGGCCACGATCACTGCCGCCGCCGCCGCCACCGCCACCGCCCCTGATGACTCACCAACTTCCACCATTCAGCTACGCCAACGACCCGGCAGACGGCGTTTCTTTCGCGACCTGAGGCCTAGTCGCCTGACGGCAACGTCGCCAGGGAGTGCGGCCACCTCCCTGTCGGCTTCCGGAGGGGGAAGACTGCGTGCCTCACAACAGTCTGAGGACGCCAGTGCCGCTTCTTCTTCCATGTCCACTTGCCCCAACTTCACTTCTCAGATGCGGAGGGTGCGCTCACTAATATATATATGTATATACTTAGTAATTGGTTGTTTGTTCGTGACCTTTGCCACTCATACGGAGCTTGTTTGCGTCGTGAAACCAATAGATCGGTGTGCGCCCATTACTGATTGAATAAATACTCGATCTGCAGCGACAGCGAATGACAGGTGGTGAGGCACTGATGAGCTTCGGTTCGATGAAGTGCTTATGACCCATCTGGTAGACCCCAGTGGTGGATCAACTGCGCCAGGTGCGTCTGTGCGCATGTTTGTGTTTCTGGTCCCAACTGCTGGCCAGGGTTATGATTAACTGAATGAGGGAAAAATAAGTCCGAAACTGTACTGCATCAATCTACCCACATTCTCAGTCGTCCCTCCTTGCTGCTACATATGAATGTCTATAATTTGATTTTACTATATTAACAATACGGGTTCTAGCTGAAAGCATAGACATTCGTTACACCGATATTCTGCCGCTTTATGAACTCAGCAGCGGACCTCCAGAGTTCTCAGCGTGTTTTCTGGCAGATCCTGTACTTTTGAAACCCCTGCTTTCTAATCTCAGAAATTAATACGATATATATGAATAAATAAATACATAAATATGAATAAGTACCCGATCTAAAGCGATAGAAAATGACAGATGGCGAGGGACTGATCAACGTAGTTTCGATTAAGTGCTCATGACCTATCTGGCAGACCAACTGTGCCAAGTGCGTCTGTGCGCATGTTTGTATTTCTGATCCCAGCTGTCCCTAACCATTGACCCAGAGGCTCGTTGTCCTATCGGTTGTTACTAGATGCATTAAAACTGGTTGGGGGATGCTAACCGTTTGTGTTACGGAACTCATTCGTCCCGGCATGCCCTGGGTTTGTCTCTCAAAGGTCCACGAACCGCCACACAGCGTTGCGCAATATAGGCAAAATAATATTTCCGGCAGAAACAAGCAAGACTGGAGTGGCCAATTCTGACTTGCCAACCGTCATCAGCAGGCCACACCCAAATCTGAGATGTGCAACCACCGAGGGTCGAAGTCAATTGTTAATATACCCGATCGTAACCGACAGGGTAACGAGTCCGTGGCTCAGTGGTTAGGGGGGTTGGACTTTTAGTTAACAAGCCGCGAATTTGAGCTTTGGAAGTTGCACACCTCGGGGTTGGGTATGGCTGGTTGATGACGGTTAGCAAATCAGAAATGGCAACACCAGTCTCCAGTCAGAAATATTATTATGCCTATATCACGCAACGCTGTGTGGCTGCAGGTGGGCCTTTGAGAGATGACCCCGAATCCCACTGAGCTCCATAACACGATCAGTACCCTCCGCCACACTGCCATTTGTTATAGATTATATGGTACGCCATCGTCGACAGCACATGTATTAGCTAAAATCCAGGCACATATTTCGTCGATATTCTGCCGCTGGGTGATAGGGCTGTAAGGGCGGTTCGGCTCGCCAGTGTTCTCTCGTGCTTTCTGGCAGATTCCCTAGTGGTAGAGGGACGCTCAACAATCGTTCATACGGAACTCACTCTCTCTCTGGAGCCCGACCAGCAGCTGCACAGCGGCGCATGCTATAGGCTGAATGTTATCGCCGACAAAGACAGGGGAGACTGGAATGGTCATTTCTGACTTATTAGCCGTCGTCAGCCAGCCATACCAATCTCCGAAGTGTGGAACACCTGGAGTTCGATCCCGCGACATGATAGTTAGACGTCCATCGCCTCTAACCACGGCTCAGTGGTTATGACTGGCTGATTATGGCTAATTAGTCAGAAATGGTCATTCCGGTCCCCCTTGTCTTTGTCAGTGATAGCATCCTGCCTAGATTTCCTTCTTTTGAAATTTCATCTTCTAAATCTCCTCAAAATTCAATGGTTTAAAATGGGAGTGATTTATTCGTATTTTTAATGTGCTTTGCTGAGAGACACTCCAGTTAGCCCGCTGTGGCTGATGAACTTCGACCGAGTATTCACAGGTACTTTCAGTCGGAGCCTTGAAAGTTTTATTCAGACTGATTTACTGTAAGTTGGCACATCCGTTTCCGAGGAAACTAAAAAGCCGCAATATACATACAGTGAGTGACCGATCTCATGAAATGTTGGCTGAAATTCTGAAATGCGTTTTCGATTAGGAAGGACTACTTGGTCGCGGTTGTGATACTGATTACCTTGCGGCATAATCTTATAACATTTCGGACTCGGCAGGATGCCTGCTTTAAAATGCACTTCTTTTCAATCTCCTGTAGAAAGTGTACTCGGCAAAAAAATGACTACTTAAGTAACATGCATTTTCCCATTGATTTTCGATGGTCTTGGAAATTTAAATATACTTTATAAAAACCATAAACAATAATGTGCTTTCTTTTAGTCAATCAATAGAGAACCACGTCTTCTTTATATTTTATCCTTAAGGAAGGAGTATAATTAGGTTTTAAAAAAGTTTTCTAATTGCCGAATAATTTGGAGCCTGATCATTCGTTGCATTAGCGCTTAGTGATTTCACTCTACAAGGTGCATGCGTTCCGCGTAAAGAAAATCCCATATTTTCCTATGCCATTAAAGAGGTATCATACAGAGTCCATAACGTTTTGCAATAGATGCGGATCATGTTGTACATTTCATGAGGAGAAGTGGTAAACGGCCAGGTACGATGCTATGTGAATGGACATTTCGCGGTCTTAAAAGTCTCATAATTAGAAACTTTTTTAAAACATAATTATACTCCGTTTTTAAGGATAAAATATAAAGAAGACGTGGTTCTTTATTGATTGATTAAAAGAAAACATATCTTTATTTTTGGTTTATATAAAATATATTTGAATTTCCAAGACCATCGAAAATCAATGGGGAAAATGATGCTACTTAAGTAGTCATTTTTTACCGAGTACGCTTTCTACAGGAGATTTAAAAGAAGTGCATTTAAAAGCCGACATCCCGCCGAGTCCGAAATGTTATAAGAGTATGCCGTAAGATAGTCAGTATTACAACCGCGACCAAGTAATCCTTCCTAATCGAAAACGCATTTCAGAATTTCAGCCAACATTTCATGGGATCGGTCACTCACGTAGGATGGCGGGAGTTATGCATCGCGTTATGGGACCCGCTTGTTCCGTTATGTACTAAGGCTCGATCCAGAGCGCCGCATGTAGTCGCATAGTTATTACTGTTATATGCAAGATTCTAGGTATACACAAAGTTCTCTAATACAATAAAATGGATAAATAAAACAACACAAATAGGATGACATCAGAAAGGAGATCCTTAGTGAAATTGGCACACAAGTATCCTTCAGAAATTAGTTTAATGTCAAATATGACGGTAAACCAGCACCCTAAGTTTGGGATATAGATTTAAAAACAGTTTCATGAGATTTGGCTGTATTGTCTTGGTGATGAGTATGCTTTAATTCAATTAAAAATTTCCTTCAATAAGTTGTTTTCTCAAGAAGTCTTTTAATTAGGTATTTCGCTGACGGCTGTTTGCTCACTTTACCTCTTTTTGAGGGCAAAGCCAAGGTAAAAATGGGTCATTTGGTTGGTTTTTTAGCTTTTCTGAAAAGTAACGATGTTTTTTTGATGGAAATGAAAGAGTTTTCTTTTCACATTATATCAGAGACTTTTTCGATGTTTTGGCTTGCTTTAAGGCACTATTTTACTATTATTAATGCGCAATAGGATGGCCATATAAATACTTAGGCATTGCTACAACCGCTAGTCTTCCACCGATCCCGATCCTAAATTACACATTGGTGGAAACTAGACCATACTGAAAACAGCTTACCATATGAGTAAAACCGAATGCAGTCACTCTGTGGAGGGTCTTTTGCGGTAAGCTATTACGTATTCGCAAAGAAGAGGACAGTTTGGGAATATTTAAGCAAGGGATTGCCTGCAAGCGTTATTCCTGACCCAAGGCCCCTCTGTCACGTGTCGAAACGGCGAACGTCGTCTGTAACGTCCATCGCAGTTCCTGTGAGACGGACTACGTTGGAGAGACCGGCAACAACTGCAGACCCGCATGAGTGATTACGCAAGGACAGGGAGAAGGATGGACCAGCTCTTGCTGGTTACTGTAGACTGTGTTGACTTGAAACACTTTCGTTCTCCAGAGGGCACAAAGCCTAGGCCGAGGTGTTGACCAAACAACCAGAGAAACGCTTGAAGCCTGGCGCACCGTACACATTCCCATCAACCGCTGTATTATTTCCTGGCTACTCTGCAGGCCTTGCGAGTACGGCTCAGTCAACGGAATCGCAGACAGGAAGTCAGACTGGACGCGATCGTAAGCAAATACATACGGACCAAGAACACAGGCAGGCAGGCAGGCGTAAACACATGTCAGACACAAACGCAGCTGTAGGGGAAATCGCGGGGAACGCAAGCCGGCGAGATCGCCTATCAGGCTTGTACACGGGTGTGCGGAACGTAGTTTGTGCATGAACACCAGTGGCGGGGGTCGTCAGCCCAATAGAATGGAGACACCGGCAACGCCTCAGCAACCACTTGTGAGGAGCGCATGGGCAGATGCAAACAGATGACGAGAATCAGATATGTGGGTCAGGGAAAAAAATAGAAGACATGCAGAAGTGATGAATGACCATTGTCATCCCGACACCGCTGTCCGACGAGGAGAGGAAGAAAAGTGCTGACCAGCGTGCCGTCGACCAACACTCCGCTCAGGGCATTTTGCACGAATAATATTTGAATCAACAGCACTTCAGCATGCTCAGCATCCATAAATACTGTGAGCCTGCGTATATAACGTAAATCCGAACATGGAAGCTTGCCTGCTTTTGAAACGTTAGGATATTTAACCTATGGTTCCTGCAGTCGGCCATTATTCTCATATATATCTGCATATATATGATGGTAAAGAGGGTGCTTACCGACTGACTGACGACGGCTAATAAACCTTGTTTTTTTCGGCAATATTTCTCTTCATATACACTTATATTGGAGGTGGGAGACAACAGGGCATGTGGGCGGACTAAAACAGAACTCTTTCGAATTCATTCAGCCCTCATTCGGCTACTTCTAACGCCAACCGCCATCTGTGACCAGAAACACGAACATTGGCCAACCATAACCAACCTCGACTCTGTGCAATATGGGATTCGAGCCTGCATTCTGCCATTGGGCCACGGGATTCTTTGTTCTGTCGGTTGTGATTGAAAACGCTAATTAAGTTGAAAGTGCGTCCATCGATCGGGTTATAGAACAGGCTTGTCCCTTTGTGCCATTGGGCCGAATCTGCCCCTCGGTACCCTCATATCAGCATAACTTACTAATCATCAAGCGAATGGTTTTGAATGAGTCCCAGGGAGCAAACAGCGACTAGATCGTCTGATCTGGTCCATGGGCGTCATTCTGCGATATGTATATCTGCAAATATATTCGTATACATACATGCAGAAGGAGACTACCGACAGAGAATAATTAGACCGGAATGGCTGTTTTTGTCTTATTATTTATCACCAGCCAGCCATACCCAGCTCCAGGTTTGGAAGCTCCGAGCCTCGAAGTCGTTTTTTGTTGAGTAGAAGTCCAACGCTCCAACTATTGAACCCGCAGGCTGCGATCAGTTGTAGTATTTAAGGTAGAGGATGCTCACCGATCACATTACGGGACCTGTTCGTCCCGTCTTGTCTTGTGGTTCGATTTAGAGACCTGTAGACAGTCGCACAGGGACTACTAATATATGTAATAGGAGACTGGCAATAAAGACAAGGGCAAAGAGTTCGCGGGACATTGGCTAAACAATTGAACATTTTATGAACGGAATGCGAATCCTAGGCTCAGGGGTTTCAAGTCCGGGCTAGGTTAAGAGGGCTGATGACAGTTAGTGAGCCAGAAATGGCCGTTTCATTCGCCTTTGTGCTCTTTTATTAGTCTCCTTCTGCATATATTTCTAGTAGTAGTTGTTGTGGCCGAGCCCAAAAGCAAAAGATGCGGAGTATGTCCCCCAGTGCAGTTGGTGAGCGTCCTCTATCATATATATAGATGCAATACTGGCTGATGACGGATAATAATAATTTAAAAATGACCATCATTTCTCCCCTTGTCAGCACTCCTGTTTATATATATATGTGTAGGTCTTTCGAAAGAAGTAGGTCTTTCGCGAAAGATAACACAATTATAGAACAATTTATTTTATTAATTATCGACTTTGGTTTCCCAAGCCGTTCTCAGACGTGAAAAAAGCGTGCGAAACGGTTAACATTTAAACATGCCTAGAAATCGATATCGTCCTGTCACTTCAGTCATTGGCTCTTTATTGTGGTTTGGCATAAAGATTTGATTGGCTAACGCATTTTCCACTTTTTCTTGAGGCTATTATACACAGCATTCAATCCGATGTGTCGCATAAATTACTAGTTATCATGCGAATGCTCTTCATTGAGCCCCAAGGCGCAAGAGTCGGGTAGGCCGCTCAACCTGGTCCGTAAGCGGGGACCACACTTCGTCATTAGCTTTTACATCCTTAGGGTAGGGTTGACTATTTAAATGAGAAAGAAATCGTCTATAAGGTACCATGAGACACCTGTAGTGCAGTTTATTGCAATCAAACTGGAAAATCTGCCTCTACACGCATACACATGCATCACTTGGAAGTAAGAAAGCGAGACCACTTGTCCCAGGGTGCCATGCATACGCTGGGAACTGGACACAAATTTGGCTTGGAATATAACTCTCATTATAGGTTTTTGCTCATCTAAAAAAGCCGAGGGTCACTAGAGGGCATTCGTTCTGATAACGCATGCATCAATCGACACATCGAATTGGATGTTGTATACAACATTCTCAAGGAAAAGTTGAAAAGGCGTTAGTCAATCAAAACAAAATGCCAACCCACAGGAAAGGCTGACTAGGAGGAGTGACGAGGCAAGACCCATTTTAGGCATATTTAAATTTTAACTGTTTTGCACACTTGGTTCAGGTCTGAAGGCGCCTTGGGGAACCAAAGTCAAAGATTTACGAAATAAATTTGTGTTATCTTTCCCAAAAGACTTACATCTTTCGAATTATGATTCTTGGGATGCCATTTTGAAATTTATGCATATATATACCTAAAAATTTCAACATAAATTATTTGACGGCCTTAGAATTTCATACGACAACGATACACGGGTTAGACCCAAGCCGGGTATCTGAATTAATTTCCTGACTGCACATACAAAGAATAGATCGTCGAGCTGTACTATCATCTGACTCTGAGCATTACTGACCGCAGCTGACAGAGTATATGCTCACAAGCTCAAGCTTTACTGAGCACTAGCGTTCGCCTTTACATATGGGGCTTTCCCCTCATGGAGCTGGACAGATCACGTGCGGATAAAAACTCGAAATATGCAGAAGGTGCTGATTTCAGTCTCCCTTATGTTTTTTTTTCAGGCAGTGCTTATCCATTAATAGCCTAACTCGTAAATACCACTTTCATTTGCCCATCTCTTCAGAGTATTGACAACCTTGCAACTGAGTTAACTGCACACATGGCTGACAGCCTATCAGAGAAGGAGCAAGATGTGAGGGGTTTTCGTCGACACCTGCGACACGTCCTGCCTCCCCGTCTGCTCGGGGCTACCACCTCCAATAGTTTCTCCTCCTCCTCCTCCACGTCCCCCCTGCCACAGCAGCAGCAGCAGCACTATCGGCAGTATCAACCGTTTCTTCCAACTCCGGCCTCCACCTGGCGTCCACTTGCCAGGCGCCAGCTGACAGGTGGCCGTTGGCAGAGTGTGGTCACGCTGCCGACAACCGGCACGAGGACGCGCAATGCCGCCGCCGACGCCGCTGCCGCGGCACCGACTGCTGTCACCACCGGCGCAGGTGGGGCGCTGAGACACCAAAAGACATACAGCATGCCCGGAGCCCTGACGGCGGACCCGCTGACGGGTGGTAGACATCAACTGGCCATCGAGGCAACGAGGCCGGCTGACGTGGACTTGAGTCTTTCAAACCCCAACATGATGTCCTCCCTCCCCACCAGTCTGCTTTGGCGCTCCCTTTCGCTCTCCCTGGGCACGGGTACCGCGCTGGCCTTCTCCAGCATCGCTGAGGTTAGTCCATACTCTCTACCCCTACCTCAGCCGAAACCTATCTTTTTCGGCTCCTGCTTCCGCTCAATGTTGGAGGTGCCTTCTTGCTATTCACCATCCTGGCTGTGGGGTTAAAACAGTTGCCAGAGATCAAGCTGTGGAATCAGATACTTATTAGAAAAAAGAATAGTGTTCAGTGGGGTCGAGTTACTTGGGTTCTGAGCTGCCGGCTACCCGAGGGTTGATAAAGTCGGCTTTTTGCTCTGCATCTCTCCTCATGTCTCCACGTAATCATTCTTCCTCCGTGATGCAGACCAGAGGAAACTGCATAAAGACGCGTTCTGCGACAGAAATGAAATCGAAGACAATAGAAAGATCTCAATCATGGCATGCAATAAAGACGAAAAAGCTGCACTGGAAAGCCAGTGCTGCTACTACTGCTACTTTTACTACTACTACTACTACTACTACTACTACTACTACTACTACTACTACTACTACTACTACTACTACGACTACTACGACTACTACTACTACTACTTCTAATACTATTACTACTACTACTACTGCTACTACTACAACAACTACTACTACTAATAAAAATGATAATACTGCTGCTGCTGCTGCTGCTACTACTACTACTACTACTACTACTACTACTACTACTACTACTACTACTACTACTACTACTAGTACCACTACAACTACAACTTCCACCGTCACTTCCATCATTGCGATTATCATTATTCTTACGAATATTACGACAAATAGTACTGCTTCTGCCAACACTACCTCTACTACTGCTGCTATTGCTGTTACTATTATTAATATTGGTGCTACTACTGTTCTTTCCGATACAGCTGCTTACGTTGGTACCATCAGTGCTTAAAATTATATTCATATTATTCATACTCCAACTGTGGTTGTTAAGTCATCTATTGCTTTTCGTGGTTGTCAATTCAGGAGCGCTTTTGCCTACTTATAAAAGTCATGGTTTTATTTATGCAAAACTCCCTTCTCGGTCATGTCGCTGATGTGGTATACTGGCGAAAATCTTTGGCTTCATTATGCTCTTAAAAGTTTGCGCTTATAAAAACACCAGTATGGACAGCAGCTGCCTGAGCAGCTGCAAAGTTTAGCCAGAAAGAGTGGCAGTAGCTAGGTAGGGTATTGCCTCCAATCAACCAGTCGAATCCCATTTGTGCGGTCAGTGGCCGGTCTCATGAAATCTTAGCTGGAATCGTAAAATGCATTTGCTATTAGGGAGGATTACTTAAGTGAAGTTGCAATAGCTACGATTTTTTGGCAAAATACCATGATATTTCAGACAGATCACGATTTTGGCTTTTAAATGCGCCTCTTTCCGGCTATCTGTTAAAAGAGTAAATGACAAAATGATTATTTAAGTGGTGGACATTTCCGATGCCTGTAAATATTCAAGTATATTTTGCTGTAAAAAAATCACAAAATATTCACCCTTGAACTCATTTGGTAGAAGCGCACTTTTTTAGAGGTTTTTACTCAATGGAAGTGCCTATTAAAGTTTTAAGTAAGCTTGTTTATTCACGAATAATTTTAAGCTCAATGTTCCTTCGCATATGCCTTTAGAGTCTTCAGTCTACCTGCCCGTATACTTTGCGCGTAAGAATAATCGTTCATTCCCCTATGACATTAGGAAGCTAGCATACAAAGCTCATTAACTGTTGCGATTAATTTGGACTGTGTTTTATGCTTTACAGACACATAAGACACTATTTGAGTGAATATCGCGTGGTCGTAAAATATCTCTTAATTATAAATCTATTAAAAACCTAAATATGCCCTCCAATTTTAGCATAAGATTTGAAAAAGGCGTGATTTTCCACCAATTGCGTATGAGTTCTATGAGACATCTCATAGGCATAAAAATGAATGGATAAAAATGGACGCTATCTAAGTAGCGACGGAGAGCAAGCACATTTAAAAGTCAACATCCTGGCATGTCTGAAATGTAATGAGAGTATGTTGCACTAAACTTAATATCACAACCCCACTTAAGTAGTCATTCCTAATCAAAAACGCATTCCAGAAATTCGGTTGACATTCTGTGAGATCGGTCACTGAGGACACTTTATTTCCGCTAGGAAACATAAAGCAGGGACAGGGACAGTGACAGAAGGGGGTCAATGACTCTGATGATGGGTTCGAGAGAGAATCTGCAATATCAGGCGAATAAAGCCATTGTCCTAGCGATCGCTTCTACTTCTTATAAACCACTTTTCATTCATAATTTAGTATTCGCGTCGTTGAGATACCGCTTTCGGTACAGAACAAAATGGACCTCGTACTCAAGCACTGGCCTAATAAGCAGTAATTTATGGCAGAGACAGTTTTCAACATCACTGAAGTTTGACGATAGTGTTGGACTAATAAGATGTTTATTTTCTGTCTTACCTGCCAAAAGGTCAGATACCGCTAAGACAAATACAATATGACCAGGGATTTCTGAGCAAAATTGGGATTCCGAAGCCAGCCGTATCAAGTGACACGCGCTGTGTTACGCTTTACTATTAGGGAATTCCTTTAACGTACTCGGAGCGATTGTCATTTTATTTAGTAGAAGCTGTTCTTCCGTCTGAGACGCAGGTCATGATGGAGCATATGAGGTCCGTATTTTAGGGTTTTTACGTTTTCTTTTTAGGTCGCCTCACTGCCCAGTGAGGAGAACTTTTGATCGAAAACGTTCTTCAGATAATTTGAGGCTTTATCTTCTCGACAAGTAAAAGTCCTGACCAGCTTCTATCTTTTTCAACACTACCTCCGGGCTTTCCTTGCAGACGAAAGTTAGATATCTTCACCTAGAGACATTGTCTTATTTCCTTTATGTCATCCATTCGACTGCATGCGCTCATCTGCCATGAAACTTAGACCGGTGAGCCTATGAAGTGTATTTATCTCCTCCTATGCATATATATATTCATCTTTATCGCTTTAAAGTGGTCGCCATCTAGAGGTTTGAAGCACTTCCCATCAGATTATATTTCTATATTGAATTATATGCGAATGAAAATTAAATGTTAATAACAAGTTTCGTCCTCTTCTTCTTCTTCCCAAGGGAATCCTTTGAGGGGTACCAGTAGGTAAATACTGGGCAATGACCTCCAGAATTTACATGTTTCTAGATCAAACCAAAGGATGACATCACCTTGCCTACCGTCTAAAGACACGGGTTCCTTCTAGCGTAAGCTAAGCTGAGTTATATCTCTTCTGAATTGGTCTGGCAATGAGTTCTGATGAAAGATGAAAACGAAAAAATGTCTGAAATCAGGTATTAGGACTAAGTAGATATTCTGGAACACGTTTTATGAAATGAAAACCAAGTACAATCTGCCCTCGTTTATGCCACTTGAATGAACCAGGTTGTGAGTAATTATCCCAAAAGCAATTAAGGCCATTGACAATACGGCTGCGGATGAGAAAGTCGTGATAGCATTAAAACCGCCTGGTCCGGTGATGGATGTAATGCTGCTAATTATGATAGGTATGTGATGGTATAGCGACTGGATCCTGTAAATACTGCGCCCGTTGTGCGTCCATAACCCTTATTTGCGACTCTCTGATGATGACCTCAAGCGGTAATCGGAAACGTCCGATGAATAAACTTTTCGTTTCAACGATCGCATTTTGTTTTTTTCTAACTTTTTTCTTTGAATTCGCCTCTTCGCCCCTGCCCCTTGCCGGCAATGTAGTCGCGTTGCGGTACGCGAGCAATAGTCCCGATTTTCCTACCAGTAGTATGGACTAGCTTAAATGCCTCTCTGCAGGCTGGGTTTAGTAGGAGAACGCGTGAATAAATTTATATCTGATTGACGCGAAAATGCGCGTTCCCGGATATAACTGAGAAGATAAGACGATCACAGGAACCATGGATTTATTTGCCTGACGTTTCGAAGGCAGACAAGCTTCAATCATAGGAGGTGGGTTGCGTACCGCACGTCACAGCATTTAAGGGTTTTCTTTCGTGCTGGCGTGGCATTGACTTCCAGCGCGCTGCATCACACGGTATGGCGATGGTTGTCATGGCGGCATCGGCTTCTCCTCATCCTTTGTCGGATGTGGGGGGAGGGGGGGAGCGGCGTCGGGGTGACCGCGGCCATTGCTCTTGTTTGCGTTGTCCGTTGTCCGCCCTCCACGTATCTCGCCTTCTTACAACGTTCACGCCTGCCCGTAACTGCGTGGACGGTGGTTGTCATGCCAGTGTTGACGTGGGGCTGGGGATTCCTGTCACTGTCGCGGGATATCATCTTGCTGTCCCGTTCACACCTGCCCGTAACCATGTTGACGGTAGTTGTCATGCCAGTGTTGACGTCGGGCTGGGGGGTCCTGTCGCTGTTGGGCGTTCTCACCGACTGCTCGCGTCCGTCTGCGTTCGCCGCCGGTTATCCCCTGCTTTCATTTGTTCCCGGTACCTATCTATGCCCGTCCGTGTTCCGCTTGGTCTGGGTTTGGTTACTGTCGTCTCTGGCCTGACGTCTCGTCGGTAGCCCTGCCTACTGAACTTCCCCTGTATGGCTTGGTAGGCAGCTGGTAGATTTACGCAGAGGTTGATAGAGGTAGTTGTGGTGAGCCAGGATTCGAGCGTCTCCCTGACCGTTTGATCGCTCCCTTGGCCCAAGACTTCGGCGTCTTGAAAGGCGAAGGCGTGGCCAAAAGCTGTACAATGTTCTGCCCCCATTGAGAGCTGATCCATTCTTCGTACCGCTCTTGCGTGCTCGTGCATGCGGGTCTGCAATCTCTTCCCGGTTTCTCCAACGTAGTTTGCCTCGCAGGAACTACACGGGATCCGATAGACGACATTGGCAGTTTCGCCTCATGGCAGAGGCGTTTTTGGCCTCGTAACCAGACGTCTAATTGTCGCTTCTGGTTTGTGGGCGATGCCGATACCCAATGGTTGCAAGATGCGAGCAACTGCCTCGGAAACGTTCGCAATATATGGCAGCGTTCGCCAGACTTTCGGCTGATTTGCCGTTGACTTTATGGTTGGTCTGGACGTGCAGTACGCAACCCATATCCGATGATGGAAGCTTGTCTGCTTTCGAAACGTCAGGCAGATAAATCCTTGGTTCCTGTGATTGCCTTATCTTCTCATATATACATATGTAGGCAGAATGATATTACCGACAAAGACAAGGGAGAGCCCTTAAGGCACAACGGAACGAGTGAGTTCCGTATGAACGATCGGTGAGCGCCCCCTAACATTATATACATATGTATATATTCCGAAAGAAATAGGCTCTTTTGGAAAGATAAACAAGTTTTATTGCAAATTTTCTATCTTGGTTCCCCAAGTCGTCTTCAGACGTGAACTAAGTGTGCAAAACAGTTAACATTTAAACACGACGAAAAAAATCGATTTTGCCTTGTCACTCCTGCTGGTGTTCTGATTGGCTAACGCCTTTTCCACTTTTCTTTGAGGCTGTTGTACACCGTATCTAATTCTACGTGTCGATTGATGCATGCGCAATCAGAATACCGGCAGACATCTCATGTTGGGAGAGAATATAGTTACTCTGTAGTGCTCGCTGCACAAACATATACACTTTATCTGCTCCGGAGCATCCGGCGACTGCAGGTACTGGCATTGGCTAATGAAAGTTACCAGGCAGGAATTAGTTACTTCCCCATTCCTAGTATTTGTCGGCAACATAACGCGAGGGTTTCCCAGGCTACTCGAAAGTTTTGTGCACTGTTCGACTTCTTTCAAATTTTGCGGGGCAGGCGAACGCTCTTAAAGAATTTTCAGTGACATAAACGTCAAGAAAAACGCGGTCAGCCATGTAAGGGGGCATCATCGAACGCCAAGACCAAGTGTGATCGTGGCCAAGTTTTCGGTACCCTGCGGAAATAGACCTTTAGGGATCAAAATTCACAAGTGAGGGAGTAAGGTCAGTCGGCAACCCACGTAAGTTTAACTAATTGCGCACTGCAATGTATGCGAGTGGGAGGTCTCCACACCGATCATTTAAGTATTTACTGTAACCTCATTAGAGCGACTACCGTAGAACATGGAAGAATGGCTGACTGGACATACTGTGGGTTTTGCTTTAGCCAACCGTCGTATCACAGCCGGCTTACATATACCTGTGTGAGTCAAACTATCGTTCATTTTTCTCTGGAATATGATGACTAATACCAGGTTGTGTTAGCCAAACTAAACCAACCAAGATTAAACGGCGAATTTTTGTACAATAGCTACGGGTGGGAAACCAGTCCACAGCGGTAGTACTGCAACAACTCATTCAAACTTCAGAAGACACCTTCAGGCCCGCTATGATTTTAATGTTTTCCTTTCATAAGTTAGAGAGAAAAGAAACTATTGCTCCGCACCGTTATAACCGCAGAAATAATGAACCTTTTGCAATATTCTGATGTTAAAAATTATGACAAAATTTTTATTTTGTTAGGATAGTTTTTTTAGAAAGGATAATCAACAGGATGGCTTGCTACCACTCAGAATTCGGCAGTCGGGTTTTTACTATTTTTTGGCGTAATTGAATATCTTGAGGAAGGACACACAATCGCTGGAACAAGAGCTTTATTAGCCTGATATTACAGATTCCTGCACGAATCCATCATCAGAGATAAAAACAAATACGGGTGGTCCATGCACAGGGGACTGCAGCATTTATAGGATGCAGTCGTAACGCTACCGCATACCTATGAACATTCACGACTCCGCCCTCCCTACATCAGGGATCGTTGCTGACAATTCGATGGCCGAAATTCGTGTCGTCAAGTCCTGCAATTTCATCACGTGCGATGGGGATTGGTGTGATAATCGCTCGACCATCTGATTCACCGACCCTGGGGTTGGGAAACGTGTTCACTTGCGCGATTCCCGCGTGGCTAATTACTCCGCATAGGCGAAGTCTCAGCACCGAGAATGGAAGGGGAAGGCCATCGCACTTGATTATGGACTGGGGGCCAGTAAACCATGACTCAAGCAGCTTCCGGCTCACGCGGTTGTCACTTCTTGCGAGAATTTCGGCCTCGTCGAATTTGAATGTGTGGCCGGATCTCGTCAAATTAGCTGCAACTTGAGAGCTGGCGTCATTTATCCGCACGGCCGCAGCCTGTTCGGCAATTCGCGTTCGGAGCTGTCCTCCGATTTCTTCGACGTAGTTGCTTTGTCCGCAACTGAACCAGATCCGATAAACGACTCCAGACGTTTCGTGACGTGGCAGTGGGTCTTTCGGTTTCATTACCAGACGCCTGATGGTTGCCTCCGGTTTGTGTACAACTCCAAACCCAAGTGGTGCGAGAAGGCGGCTGACAGTTTCCGAAACGTTCTTGGCCTACGGAAGCGCTCGTGACAATTTGTTATCCATGAGATTAGACCTTTTGTCCCTTTTGCGTATACACCGGTTGCCGAAGTTGCGCGGGTAGCCATTGGCTTTGAAGACCCGTCGAAGGTATTGTAGTTCGTCAATCCTGTCTTCCGGCTCACTGCAGTGCATGTTGACACGTCGATAGAGCGTCCTTACACAACTGCGTTTGTGGCTGATTGGGTGGTTACTGTTATAGTTCAGTATTTCATCTTATTTGTCGATTTCCTGAAAACTTTGGTATTTAGTCCACCACAACATTTGCGGCATACGAAGACATCCAGGAAGGCCAACTGTTTGTTCTCTTCCACCCTTATCGTAATTACCACATCAACATCTAACGCACGTG